CCCTGGTCCTGCAGCCACCTGCCCACCTCCAGCTGTGCTCCCTTCCCAGTGGTTTTCCTGGCTGGATTATTGAATATGATTTCCTTTAAAAAAGCTCCTGGCTGGCTCTGCACTGCAGCACACTCCAGATATCCATGTCAGTTAAAGGAAGAGATGTTTCCTGCTGCCATCCCAAAAAAAAGATCCCTTCAGACAGAGGTGCCACCTGCCCTTGTTTAGCACTGGAGCTGCTCAGCCTCGTTCCACCACGTTTTAGAGCCTTTTTGCAGTGGGGGAAATGATGCATTCAGTTTTAGCTTTCATATTTTTCAGGTTCTGTGCTGCTTTAGTGTGAGGGTCTGGGCTCACATCAGGGGATGCTGAGCTCTGTGCACAGAGCAGGGAGACAAAACAATTCCTGCTCCAGCTGGGCACCAAGGACAAATGATCCAAATCTCAGCCCAGGAGCACAAACACCGTGGGCTGGAGAGAGAAAAACAAGCAGGGTGGGACTGGATGGGCTAAAGCTGGAATGGGACAATGAACTGCAAGGTGCAAATGGAGCAGAACTGATCCCAGGGAGAGACCCCGTGCCCGGCCGTGCATTTTGGGGCCATTTTGGTTCATCTTGGGTTCATTTTGGGACCATTTTGGTTCATCTTGGGTGCAGCCCTGGCTGGGCTCTTGTGCCGCCCAAGGTGGATCCATGGAGGAGATGCTTTGAATAAATCCCTGCTTTATTCTGTAACTCTGTTCCAGCCTCTGCTCCAGCTCAGCCTTCTCAAGGCATCAGTTCCTCCTCTTCTTTCCCCTCCCTGGCTGCTGGTGAGGCCTCTCCTTCTGTCCCTCAATATCCAGATTTCTCCTTGCCTTGCACTCTCCATACTGGGAATTTTGAGGTGGCAGGGACCCCAGCATTGCATCCACACTGAAAAAATCATTCTGCATCCCTGGGGATCCAGAGCAACAAGCAGTTTATGACTGAACCCTTGAGTGAGTTGTTGAATGAACCTGCTGAAGAAACGGGTGGCATGAAGGAGTTGGGCACAAACAGCAAGAAACTGAGTGCAAAGGGCAAAGCAGTGCCTTGAAGGGAAACCCTGCCCCAAATCCCAAATCCCAAATGCTGACATCTTCTAGGAGTGAGGGGTGCAGGGAACTCAGGGGAGGGCTGAGGCCACATCTCCTCACAGCCACCCAGCAGTGACCCACGCAGTGTTACCCAGCAGTGTCACCAAGCAGTGCCACCCAGCAGTGACCCACGCAGTGTCACCCAGCAGTGTCACCAAGCAGTGCCACCCAGCAGTGAGCCACGCAGTGTCACCCAGCAGTGAGCCACACAATGTCACCCAGCACTGGGCACTCAAACAATGCCAGCTGAGTGAGCTGCAAATGTTAAAGCCAGAGGGGCTGAAGGGTGATGGATCTGACCCTAAGGATGGATCTGACCCTAAAGATGGAGCAGCCAGCCAGAGGGGCTGAGAGTGATGGATCTGACCCTAAGGATGGAGCAGCCAGCCAGGGGGGCTGAGGGTGATGGATCTGACCCCAAAGATGGAGCAGCCAGCCAGAAGGGCTGAGGGTGATGGATCTGACCCCAAAGATGGAGCAGCCAGCCAGAAGGGCTGAGGGTGATGGATCTGACCCCAAAGATGGAGCAGCCAGCTATCCCTGCAGGGCTGAGCAGGCTCAGGGCAGTGCTCAGAGCCTGCAGCTCGGGATGTGACCCTGAGAATGCACAGACACAAAAGGGCTGGGGCTGAGGGCTGCTCTGAGTGCTCCCAGCTGCCCCAAGGATGAATTTGGGCTCATTTCTGCAGCAGAGCAAACCCAGAGTGTGTTACACACACAGAGAGGGCACAAAGGAGCAAATGCAAACACTAAAATACCCAGCAGCGTTTGCAGAATTAAACCCACACCAGCGGCCAAGGAAAAAGCACCACGCTCAGCTCTGGCCCAAAGTGGGACAGAGGGATGGGACCTCTCACTTTCTGCAGCAACACAGAAAAAGGTGACCACAAAAAGAGATGTAACTGGTAAAATTTCCGGTTTTTTCTACGAAACAAAACCATCCCCAAGAGCAGGAGTGCAAGGGTAGAGGGAAGGACCAGCAGTTTAAGACAGGCCATGTAAAAACTCCTTTTCTCCCAGCCTCAAATCAATGATTTTAGAATGGTGAGGCAGCTTTAGTTCACCTGTGCATTCATTGCATATTTTTCTAAAAATTTAAAATTCCTACCTGGTTTTCCAGCTCTGTCCCTCCTCTTTAGGTTACCACACACAAACATCACCCTCACCCCTCCTGGAAGAGCGTGCTTGACTCATCACTATTGTCCAGCCAGACTTATGGCTCTAAAACCTTCTCATTACTAAGCTGAAAGTCATTTTTATTTACTGGCCTCTGCCTCTTTTATGAGCTGCATGTGCTTCTTGGATCATTTCATCCTCTCAATTCAGCTCTTCAGCTAAAGAGAGATTTTACCAGCATCCCACCCCGTGTGTGCTGGGGCAGCACAGTTTGTTCAACTTCTGAGAATCCCAACTTCTCCTGGGTTTTCATCCATCAACTCAGGAGAAACTGGGAATTAAGGGCTGCAAGAAGAGGAGGAGGAGGAGACCGAGGAAATTCAGACAAAAGGTAAGATGGGGCTGAACTGCAGGGGCTGTGTTTGGCTTCAAATTCCTGCAGGCTGCAGCTCCCGGGGAACAAAGGAATGCAGGATATCAGCGGCAGCACTCAGCCCCTGAGGAGCAGATGGTGCTGCTGCCATCAGCAGCGCTCATTGTTTCTCACCTCCTCTCTCCCCCAGCCACATTCTCCTCTCCAGCGCCTGCACCCTCTGTTTGCTTTGGGTTTGCTTCCAGCTCCTGGCCCAGACATCCCTTGGGAGGGTCCCTCACCCCAGCTGGGAGAACTTCCTGCACTTTATTCATCCTCTGCAGCAGAGAGCCAGGGCCTTTGGGGTCATTATTCCAATTATTTTGAATTTCCAGCATGTTCCTGTACCTTGTGAGCATTAGGGAGTGGTTGAATTCTCTTGTCCAGCTGCTCTGTGGGGACTGACCCCTATCTGAGCTCAAAAATAATGAGAAATTTCATGAGGTTCTGTGCAGAGAACAGAGCTTGTTGACACTTGAAAATGTCATTGTCTCATTCCTCTCACAGGACAGACCAAGCCAAACTTCTCTACACTCATCCCAAATTATCCTTCCTTCCCCATTGCCATGAAGGAGGGGATGGCTGGGAGCAGAATAATCAAATAAAAACATAAACCAGAAGCAAAGAAACTGAAATAGCCACTGGATCCTTCAGCACAGGAACTGCTGGAGCCTGTCCCATCCCATAAAGTTGGATCACCAAGCTCCTCTGCTTGGTTTCTCCATTTGCAAAGTGCATTGATTTGGGAAAAAACAGGGCTTCTGTCTGTCCCTGCACAGGGCTGTCATCCAAAATACCCAACAGCTTCAGAACAAAACCTGTGGTCCCTTCCCACCTCCTGATATCCTGGGAAAATCCTGATTTAAGCCCCCAAACCTGGTTTTGGTGTTCAAGGATGCAGCAGGAGGCACCACAGGTGTTCTGGACACAGTTTTGCTGCTGTTTCCCACCACCTGTAATGGCTGAAATCCCACTTGAGCAGCATCTGGGTTTCCCAAAGAATTCCTTGTGAAGGGAGATGGAGCAGGGGCAAGCACCCCCTTCCCCAGATGGGACAGGGAAACAACCCCTGGCAAAGCTCCTGCAAGAGGGAAACAGGAGAATTTGGGGGTGCTGGAGCTCACTGCTGTTGGTGGGGTGAATTTCTAGCCCAGGAGTGAGTGCTCACACAAACACTGACACTGAAGCCTCCAATTGTGCTTCCCTGGACGAACCCAGCACATGACTGTGCTTGCCTCCCGAGCTCCCTGATCAAACCAAGGCTGGGAGCAGCCTGGTGTCTAAAACAAACAACATTTCGGGGCAAACCTTCTGTTTACAGACACACAGGGGAGATTTTTCAGCAGTGAAACCACAGAAATTGCTTGTCCAGTTTCTCAGTGGCAAATTCATCCCTTAGCAATGAGAGAGTGAGTTGGGAGGGGGAATAAATAAATCAGAACTCGTAGAAAATTCAAACTACAGTAGGCAGGGAGTTCTAAGGAAAAGAGTTATGGCCAGATGCAGAAGTTTGAGTTCTTTAGTCAGCTGTGCAATAACCTTTCCTTTCCTTTCCTTTCCTTTCCTTGAAATTTCCTTTCCTTGAAATTTCCTTTCCTTTCCTTGAAATTTCCTTTCCTTGAAATTTTCTTTCCTTTCCTTGACATTTCCTTTCCTTGAAATTTCCTTGAAATTTCCTTTCCTTTCTTTGAAATTTCTTTCCCTTCCCTTCCCTTCCCTTCCCTTCCCTTCCCTTCCCTTCCCTTCCCTTCCCTCTGTTCACGGGCCTTTGGAAAGCGTGATTTGAAGCGATTTGAAGTGGTTGGAAGCAACTTGAAGCAGTTTTAAGCAATTTTAAGCGTTTTGAAGCGACTTAAAGCAGTTTTAAGTGGTTTGAAGCGACTTGAAGCGGCTTCAAACAGTTTGAAGCGGTTTCAAGCAGTTTGAAGCGACTCGAAGCGGTTTGAAGCGGTTTGAAGCGGTTTCAATCGGTTTGAAGCGGTTTCAATCGGTGTGATTTTAATCGGTTTGAAGCGGGCGAACCCGCCGCGCTCTCCGCGCCCCCTGCCGGCGCCTCAGCAGGCGGGATGTGAGGCCGCGGGACTACAGCTCCCATGCGGCCCCGCGGAAGCGCCGCGCACGCGCAGTGCGTGCCCCCCCCGTGCGCGCCGGAGGCCGGGGCGGCCGCCCCGGCCCATCATGTAGGTGCAGCCGCGCCGGCCCCGCGCCAGCCGCGCAGGGACCCCCCCTGCTCCCCCCGGCCCCGCCCGGCCCGGCCCGGCCTGGCCCGGCCCGGCACGGCGCGGCCCGGCGCGCCCCGAGCCCCGCGCCGCCCAGGCGGGAGCGCGCGCGGCGTTCCGGGGGGGGAGCGCGCGGCTCGCATCTTTTGTGTGTGTGTGGTGTGTGTGAGCGCGCCGGGCGGCTCGCCCCTCGGCGGGGCCGCGCACGGGGGACGGCTCTTTGTGTGCGCGCGCCCTGCCCCCAGCCCGCCGGGGGACAATGTCTCAGCCCCGAGGTGAGAGAGCGCGCGTGCACGTGCAGCCGCGGGTGGGTGCGCGCGCGCGTGCAAGGGCCGCGCGTGCACGCACGTGCACGCTCGTGCACGCGTGCACTCGCTCGTGCAACTTGCGGTGGCGGCGGGGTGGGGGGGGAGCTGGTGCGCGCGCGCGTTCGCTTGTGCAACTTGCGGGTGCACGCGCGCGTGCAGCTGCGTGTGCGCGTGCACGTGCAAGTGCGTGTGCATGTGAAATCACGGGTGCGGGTGCGTGTGCGTGTGCATGTGCATGCATGGGTGCGGGTGCATGGGCATAAATGGGTGCGGGTGCCCGCGAGTTTGCACGCCCGCCTTGCCCGGGGGTCACCGCTCCCGGTGCAGCCCCCGGTGCAGCCCCTTTGCACCCCCGGTGCAGCCCCTGGTGCAGCCCCCTTGCACCCCCGGTGCAGCCCCCTTGAACCCCCGGTGCAGCCCCCGGTGCAGTCCCCGGTGCCCCTCGGCCGCCTTTGGCACGGCCCGGAACGAGCGGGGGGTGTTGCAGCAGCAGCAGCTGCAGCCGGGGCTCGGCGCGGGGTTAAAGCAAACTTTTAAACAAGTCCGCGAGGGAGATGAAAGGTGAAACTGGAGTGGAGTTACCGGGAATTAAATATATACCTACGTTTCCATGGGAAAGTATTGTTCTCGTGCCAGCGCTGAGATCATTTTCCACCCATTTCTCTCCCCCCTTCTCTCTTTTAATATTTGGTAACTTTTGGTCACACCAGCACGCCCCGAGCGTGCAAAAAAGGCAGGAATGGAGCGTTTGGAAGTGCAGGAATTGGGTATTCGGGAGCTGCAGAAAGGCAGGAATGGAGCAGTTTGGAGCTGCAAGAATTGGAGCATTTTGGAGCTGCAGGAATTGTTTAGGAGCTGCAGAAGGGCAGAAGTTGTGAATTTAGGAGTTGCAAAAGAGGAGGAATTGTGCATTTTGGAGCTGCAGAAGTTGAGAATTTAGGAGTTGCAAAAGAGCAGGAATTGGGCATTTTGGAGCCGCAGGAATTGAGCATTTTGGAGCTGCAAAAGTTGAGAACTTAGGAATTGCAATAGGACTGGAATTACACATTTTGGAGCTGCAGGAATTGAGCATTTTGAAGCTGCAGAAAGGCAGGACTAAAGCATTTAAGAGCTGCAGGACTGAAGCATTTAGGAGCTGCAGAAGGGCAGAAATTAATAATTTAGTTGCAAAAGGGCAAAATTCAAGCATTTAGGAGCTGCAGGAGTTGAGAATTCAGGATTTGCAAAGTGGGAGGAGTTATGCATTTTGGAACCACAGGAATTGTGCATTTTGGAACTGCAGAAGTTGAGAATTCTGGATTTGCAAAAGGGCAGGAATTATGCATTTTGGAGCTGCAGGAGGTGAGTATTTTGGCGCTGCAGAAGTTGAGAATTCAGGATTTGCAAAGGGGAGGAGTTACGCATTTTGGAGCTGCAGAAGTTGAGAATTTCGAAGTTGCAATAGGGCAGAAATCGAGCATTTTGGAGCTGCAGAATTTGAGAGGTTAGGAGCTGCAAAAGGGCAGGAATTGGACATTTTGGAGCTGCAAAAGTTGAGAATTTCAGAGTTGCAGAAGGGAAGGAATTATGCATTTTGGAGCTGCAGGAATTACACACTTTTCAGCTGCAGTAACTGAGCATTTTGGAACTGCAGTTGAGAACTTAGGAGTTGCAAAAGGGCAAAAATTGGGCATTTGAGAGCTGCAGGAACTGAGCATTTTGGAGCTGCAGAAGTTGAGCATTTTGGAGCTGCAAAGTTGAGAGTTTAGGAGTTGCAAAAGGGCAGGAATTGTGAATTTTGTAGCTGCAGGAATTGAAGATTTTGGAGCTGCAGGAACTGAGAATTTAGGAGTTGCAAAAGGGCAGGAATTATGAATTTTGGAGCTGCAGAAGTTGAGCATTTTGGAGCTGCAAAGTTGAGAATTTGGGAGTTGCAAAAGGGCAAAGCTGAGCGTTGAGGAGCTGCAAAAGGGCAGGAGTGGAGGCCTGAGGAGCAGCAGGAGGGGCTTTGGGAAGGGGACAGCAGTGATTTATTTCTGCCAGCGTGGTGGTGGTGGTGGTGGTGGCAAAGAGAGAGCTGGCTCTTTGCTCTTTGCTTTTTAACTCGCTGCTCATTCCAGCCTGCCTCTGCCTTGTGCCCTTGCAAGGGCGGGGGGCAGGCTGGGAGGAGGTGGAGAATTTAATATTGCAAAAATGCTGCGGGAATGCAACAGGGAGGGAGCTTTAAGGAGGAGTAGCTGTGGCCATTCATTGTGAAAATCCCTGCCCGTGACACAGACGCAGCTTTTTGGAAGTGCTTGGGGTGGATGTTGCAGCTTGGCTCTCACTGCATCCTGCAGCTCTCACAGATATTTGGGATTTTGGGGCTGAGAGGCCTGGCAGGAGCAGGTCCCAAAGTGGGTTTGGAGCTCGTGTTTGTTTATTTATTTATTTATTTATTTATTTATTTATTCATTTATTCAAACTAAGCCTTCCACAGTAATCCTTGCAAGGCAGGACATTGGGAATGAGGTGCGGGCACAGCTCTTGCCACACAGCTTTCCTTTGTAAAAAGAAAAAATGTAAAGTTGTTGTATAATTTATTCCTAATTTGGGTTTGCTGCAGTCATCTTTTCCAGCCGAGCAGGGGAATTGTAAAAGTTTCCGATGCAAAGAGCCAAGGGAGTTTGATAGTGCAGGATTGAACCCGGGGGTACCCAGAGCCCTCTGCCACTGCCAGGGGGGGACAGGGGGTCCCCAAAAAGCCTGGGGGTGGCAAAGGCTGAGCGTGCAGAGTGGTGACACGCAGGGAGCTGTGCTGGTGGCCCTGCAGAGTGCTGAGTGTCCCCCAGCAGGGCCTTGTACCAGGAAAAGGGAGGATGGAAGTAGCCAACCCACAAAACATGATCTCAATGAATGGCATCATTCTTGACTCCCTTTGCCGCCCTCCTCGCTGCCTGCAGCACCAGTGCCTGCATTCCTGGCACAGATGACTTTTCCAAGCTCAGCTGTTCGGGCCCAGCTTTTGCTCAGGAAGGGGTTTCAGCTCTGGGCTCTGCAGCAGAGATGTCGTTCTTTGGGATAAGCTGAGTTTTTGGGATCAGCTTTCATCGTGTTGCACGGGAGGTTCCTCAGCAGCTCTGTGGAAAGTACAGCCCAGAGCCTCAGCCAGCTGCTGAGCCCTCTCCCTGCTTTGAATCCTTTCCAGAGTTGTTCTGAGAATTTGCCAGAGATTAATGTTTTTTTGGTGCAGCGTGGCAGGGGGAACATGCGAGCAGCAGAGTTGTTCTTGCTCCCTGCAAGGAATCCCACCTGCTTCAGGGAGACCCTACCTGTGCTGTGCAAAAAAATGGGAGGGGATCTGCTTCCTGCACAGTGTAAAGGGTAAAACGCCCCCTGGAATTCAGAAACAACGCTTTTCTTCTGGCCCTTTCTGCAGCAGGAATGAGCAGCATTGTGCTGGTGGCTCTGAGCCACCTCACCTGCCCCTGAGGGTCCACCCAAATACAAAACTCGCCTGGAGTCAGAGACACCCTGCATTTCACCCTGTGCTTGTTCATTCCCTCTTTCAAGCTGCAGACTGGTGTTATTTGTTGGATGTAGCAACCCACAGCAAAAATCAGCTTTTCCTGAGCACAGCAAGTTCCTGCAGCTTGTTCCGCACCTTCAGAGATGGGGCTGCTCTGGCCAGGAGGGCCTTGGTGTTGATGGGAGCTCAGAAGTTGAATCCTTGCCCAAATCCAGCCCATTTGGCTGTCATGACTAATAGGATATTATTTTGGAAGAGGAGGGGGGAAAGAAAAAAAAAAGAGGAAGTCCATATTAATTTCAAGCCAAGCACAGTTTGAGGCTGTAAATCTGGACTCTGGTGACAGCAGATACATTCAGGAGTCTCCCAAATTCTTCACAACAGGGGGAATTATTCCCTGGCAAAGCCCACATGGGAGCAAATAGCTGCAAATGTGCAGATTTCTCCGTTGCAATGAGAAAAGGGAAGGGGGAGCAGCACCCAGGAGAGCACTGATTCATGAACACACTGAAATGATGTTTGAACTAAGTGTTGCTGCCTGTTGATCTCACACCTGAAGCTCAGGCTCTTGTTTCAAACACAGTTTTCAGTGCTCCAGCTGCAAAGGGAAGCTGAGATTGTGAGCAGCACATCCCACGTGATGCTGGCTGAGCGTGCACCCCATGGACTTTGACCAAAGGCCTGCACCTAGTCCAAATACCAGAGTTTTATGTGAAACGCTCATGTTTTCCCCAGCCAGAAGTCTCAGTGGAGCAGCTGTAAAGCTGAACTATTCCTTGTTGTTGGGTTTTTTTTTGCAGCCCTAGGTAGGTGGCAGGTTGTTGCTGGTGGAGGATTAACCTGCAAGCAGCTCCTGTGGGTTGTGCAATGTGAATTTTGCCTCATCAGCACCAGCTCAGCTTCTCCCCGCTCACACACTGCCATGACACAGGCACTTGGCACGGTCAGCCAGGTGCAAGCCTAGCAAAGCCTGGACTAGCAGCAGATTTCAGCTGCAGTTGATGATTTATTCTTAATTAATTTTTTTTTTTAAGGGTGCCCTGTTGAATTAGTTGAAGTGCTGGAGGTGCCTATGTGCGTGCTTTGGGTTAAGAGAGGGGGACAAATGTTTATAAAGAGGTTTAAAAACCTCCTGCAATGCCAGGCTGGAGGAATTACCCAGCTTGGGAAGAGGTTGGGGCAGAAAAGTGGCTGGAGATGAACCAAAGCTGTGCCCAGGTGAGGGCTGAGACACCTGGGTGAGCCCCTGCTCTGCCCTCAGGAGGTGTTTGTCCTGTCCCCATGTCCCACATGTCCCAACATGTCCCAACACCACTGCTCAGGCCAGCAGCTGCCACCCAGGAACATATTTAATATTTAAAAGCTCCAACCAGGAGCAATTCTAGCAATAAAAGTGCTGAGCTGCAGGAAGAAGGGAGCAGAGAGCTGAGTGCTCCTGCCAGGCTCCTCAATGCTCCTTTTTATTGTGGTGTTGAAGTCC